TTTCAGAACTTCCTGGAAGTTTTCAGAACTTCCTGGAAGTTTTCAGAACTTCCTGGAAGTTTTCAGAACTTCCTGGAAGTTTTCAGAACTTCGTGGAAGTTTTCAGAACTTCGTGGAAGTTTTCAGAACTTCCTGGAAGTTTTCAGAACTTCGTGGAAGTTTTCAGAACTTCCTGGAAGTTTTCAGAAGTTCCTGGAAGTTTTCAGAACTTCCTGGAAATTTTCAGAACTTCCTGGAAGTTTTCAGAACTTCCTGGCAATTTTCAGAACTTCCTGGAAGTTTTCAGAACTTCCAGGAAGTTTCCAGAACTTGCTGGAAGTTTTCAGAATTTCCTGGAAGTTTTCAGAACTTCCTGGAAGTTGTCAGAACTTCCTGGAAGTTTTCAGAACTTCCTTGCAGTTTACATGAACTACTCGAAACTACTCAAAGGTTCCCGTAACGTTTCTAATGTTAATGGAACTAACAAAAAAAAAAATGTCAAAAAATTTCTGGACATTCTTAGAACTTCCCTGAAGTTACATAATTTTCCTGATGTTCATGGAACTCCCAACTTCCTTGAAGTTTTCTCAACATTGTTCTTGGAACATCTGTAAAACTCATGCTTTTTTTTAAGATTTTCAAAAAAATCCTGAAGTTTTACAAATGTCCCTAAAGTCCCCCTAATTGTTCGAATGATCATGGAACTGCTCTGATGTTCATAGAACTTTCCCGAAGCTGTCTTTTTTCAACGATCTATAAACATACCAGAAGTTTTCCCGAAATTCTTCAAAGTTCCAAAAATGTTCTTGAAGTTAATCAAACTGTCATGAAGTTCTCGGATCTTCATCCTGTTCATGAAATTTTCTTAAAGATCATGGAACTGCCCTGAGGTTTTCACAACTTAAGGCATACCCACATTAGATCCGGATTTGACGTGTTGCAGCAAAGTGACAGCTAAATATATTGTGTAACTGTCAAATTTATATCAACGTAACGCAAACGGATGCCCTGGACGATATTCAAACTTCTCCAAAGTCCATAACTTTCCTGTTGTCCTTAGAACTTCTCTGAATATTTGGGATACAGTGGACCCCCGGTAATCTGACCGCTTTTAATCTGAACACTTTTTTGTTTGAACCCCGCTAATCTACACACCGTGCAAACTAAAAATTGCTCAAACGTCAAACGAATGTGAAATAGAGCGATCTGAAACGGAACCCAGAGTTGAAACAAAACAGCAAATAAGGTTACCAAAAACTAGATTTTCTGAAGGTCATAGGGTTACTAGAAGTTCAAATTAAAAATGATAATAAGCACGAAATGTTGTCCACGGTATTCCCTAAAAATTTTGGTGCATCTTAGGATCGATATTTCTGCGCCCAGTTAGTTTTGATAAATAATAAATAATAAAAATACATCGGTTTGCGGAACTGGTTTCTCATGGAGTAACCATGAGTGATAAGGAATAATTGCACCAAAGACACCAAGACGATTAGACGTAAACTTGCAATTTTATCATACTTTTTAATAAGTGAAAACGCGCTTATTAATCCAATTTGGTGTGAAATGCGCAATACTCAATTTCAAACTGTTCAATTTTCAACTATGCGATTGCCAACCACTCAATTTCGTTCTATTTGATTTCCAACTGTTCAATTTCCAAGCATTCTTTGATATTTTTTTCAACTTCATACTGTCATTAATCGTCAAATCTCGAGTACTTTTTCAAAAGGACCAATGTAGTACCATTTCCACCATATTGAGAAAAACTAAACTACAACAGCTTCAGAATAGAGTACCTAACACCGAAAAAGTGGCTTCAGAATAGAGTACCTAACACCGAAAAAGTGGCTGGTACCCTTACTTATAACCTTTAATAGGTTTTCCAATCATGATGTGCAGACAAAATGACCGAAGTAACAATTAAGCGCCCATCATTCTAAACTGTACATTGTACTATTGTTTACCTATGATTATCTTAAATAAATTAAAGTAAATTTAGATGGGTGTTTCTATTGAATATACAATGATAGAAGAGCAATAGTTTGTTACTTAGCACCTTTCGAAAAAGTACTCGAGAAATCGTGTCATGTTAAACGGTTAATTTAAAATTTGGTAACCCAAAGTTCGGAAGCTCCTACTAAAACAGCATCCTACAACTTAACCTATTTCTTTTTGTCCTACTTTCCTACACTGATCAATTTTTAGCCGGAAGCAAATGCAATAACAGAAAACAATAAGTAAAAGAACAAACCAAAAGACTTTTCTTTACTGTTTATTTAAAGTGACCAATTAACAACGAACAAAAAATATATAACTATTTCATTCTCAATGTTTAGTAAGTTTTTATAGATAAAGATTGTTCACCTCCTTGCTGTGTTATAAGTTCACAATCCAATGTTTACATTAAAGAAAAAAAATAATCCTGTATACAGCATTTGAGGAGACACTTTTTTCGATGTAAATATTCTTATTAATGTACACTGAAACAAATATAAACTATACAACCGTTACAATTGTGACCGAGATAGTAGTTCGCCATTTCTAAACAACCTGCTCCGATGGATATAACACTTTGATGGGGCATTTACAAGTACAACAATAGCTACAATTGTCATGAATCAACGGGTCTGAAATACGTGTTTCACCATTGGTCTGTGGTTGGGAGAGAGAGATAGAGGGCGCAGTAACAATGACCACTAACACTTAGTAAAAATCTAGAAGGATAAAGAGAAAACGGTTGGCAATGGTCTTCCTAAAAGTAGCGATATTTTGTTTAGTAGTACAACAGTTCAAGCGTCACTTTTCAAATCGACGTATCTGATTTTGTAAACAATCACCTTCAATCGACGATTTGTCTTAACTCCCGCAAACTTCCAACACCATCAAGTGGAGGCATTTTCTCCTACCAGTTGGTGTTTTAAGTTAGCTAACAGTTGCCACAAAACGTTCACAAATTCAGATAGGGTAAACGCTTGCCCAAATTCAATTTAAAAAGTGACGCTTGACTTCTTAGTTCAGAATTGGGCATGTTATCAAGGTATACGTAAGATTATCTTCTCATTGGCACGTGATGCAGTCTAACAGCTAATTTTTAATCGGTAATGATTGCGAAAAACTCGAAGTAGAAAACAGTAGCACTTAAGTATAGGCAAGATTTATCATACAGAAATTTACACAAATCAATACAATCGTAATATATGAATGCGTTGCGAAATAAGGGAAGCAAGCTGCTGTTTATCTCTAAATTTTGATGAAGATTTCCTGTCCTCACATTGCATACTAACCGCACACAGTAGTTGTTGTCGGCGAACAAAAGTGAGGTTAAGTCCATTTTGTTTGCAAACAAACACCCACACACACGCAGCGCACGCACTTTTGCACGCTCCCTAAAGTAAACAGAAGCAAAGGTTTTGGATTGCTCCGGAGTCGCGGTTGGCCCCGCGGGAGTACTCCAGTGCCGGAGGCGAAGGGTGACTACTGCTGGAGCTGGATTCTACCGTTGCAACTGTTTGGCAACATTTTTCCGCGATTAAATAGAAGAAAAGGTGACGATAGAGAAAAGTCAATTGACGGTACAGTTTGTACACTTGACGAAACGAAGAACAACGAGGAAACAGCGTTAACAACGAATAAAGGTAAATGAACGAACGGGATGAAAGAAGGCGTGCAAAAATGCGCGGTATGAATGTGTCAGGAACGGTATTACTACGGATATCGGCGCAGCCGTTTCTCCTACATTTTAAGGTTAGGTTTCGCAAAGGCACACTTACGAATAGCACACGGACAAATTTTACTCTCTAATTGCTACTAAATGGGCTGAGCTCGGTCAGTTGCTTGGATTCGAATTTCAACGGGTTAATTAGAGATAAAATTTGTTACTATACACACAAACATTTCTGAAGCGAGCGTCGCGACGCAGCGCGACTAATGCATCAAGCAAAGCATAAACATTCAGGCGGGTGCTATTGACTAACAAACAAACGTCATTTATCGGAACTTACACTCAAGCAAGTTACGTAAGCGTTTTTGGGGCGGGTTATGTGTGCATAATATTCCAATTTTCTAATAGCGGGGCTCATCTCTGGTAACGATCAGGAGCGATAGAGGGAGTGAGATGAGTCCCTTGTCTTTTTTTTTCTACATTTTGGCAGCGTACTTGTTCTACAGAATCATCAGTGCAAATAATGTGATGATGGCAATGATTAAAGCAATTACGGTAATATAATCAAAGTTACTATTCGCCAAGCCGTAGGTACATGCTAGCACGACGTGCTGTGGTTGGACGATGCCGCTGCCGCTACGCTTTCCCTGTTGTTGACCGGAGCTCGGTCTGCTACTACCACTGGGCTGACTTCGGCCACTTTCGTTGTCGTCGATGTTCGTTCGTCTTCGTAGATTCGTATCGTTCTTCGGTGCAATCTGTTCAAACTCCTGTAGCGATTCAACTTTCGGATCTTCAGCTACCTTGTCATCTTCCTCCACCGGCTTTGCCGGCTCTTCCATCTTCTGCTGATCTGAAAGCTCTTCAACCTGCGCCGCATCACCCTCGTCGACGTCTTCGACGAAAATCTCCGGAATCTGTATCTCGCTCCTGAACGCATACCCAGTATCGATCTGAATTTCATTCACGAACGTAACGCGTCGTTCGGCCGTGAACTCGTTGCCGAAATCGGTCAGACTGACGTTTCCGGAATCAGTAGTAGTTGATTCTATTTCCGGATTCGTCTGCTGCCGATCGCCACCGGGTTCGACGCCGTCGAGCTCGCTACAATCCAGCTCGAACTCGTGCAAGTCTTCCACGATTGTGTCGAGCTGGGTACCGTGGGTAAAGCTAGCGGATCGATACAAACTATCCAGCTCGTGATATCTAGTGTTGTTGTTAGCGCTAGTGACAGTATTTGTAGTGTTTGTAGTCGTGTTATTAGTGTTTTGAGTGTTGTTGGTAGCAGACACACCATGCTGATCGGATGCACACAACAATGATTGCACACTACACGCATTCTCGTGGGTGGTGTTACCTGTCGGTGTTGGACTCTTGATGCCAAAGATCATCGCCAGCTCTTCGGAAGAGTTGTACTGCGACTCGGCATCCGACGGCGAACGGCGCAACGGAGGCGACGCACCAGTCACCGCCCCTATTGGAATCGGAATAACCTCCACCAGTGTCGAATCGGCACTCACATTCGGTGCTGAAACGATCGAACTAGCAGCCGACGATGAACTGACATTGGACTTGAGGCAATCGCTCGATGAAAGCAGATTGCAGGACGTAAGGTCCGACGATTTTGGGAACTGTTCCGTCTCGCTAGAAGATTTCGGATCGGTCGGGGTCAATGAAGGCCCATGGAAGTCGCTCAACTCCAAGCTGGACTCCTTGCTGTATTTGCTACTTTCAAAAACCTCCTCCTGCTTTTCCAACGGCACCGAGTTGATCGTAATCTGCACGTCATTCTCAATACCACACTCCTTCATTATCAAATCGATCTCCTCCTCGGTACTCTTCTTATCCGAATCCGACTCAAGAGGATTGATACTCTCCACCAAACTATCGTAATCCCTGTCGATCGCAGACTTCTCCCCATCCTTCATTTCCTCGAGCTCACTCAACTGCTCTTGGCATCGTCTAGACAACCTATCGAACGTATCCTCATCTCCCACCTGAGGCGTCAACTCCTTGATCAATCCAGAGAGCACCGACTTCTCTGGCGCCTCCACTGCCACCTGTGCCACCGGTTGCTGCGTAACCATCATCACCCGATTGATCATACCGTGACACAGCATCGCCGCGTTGGACGTATCCTCAATCTCCTTGACTAGCTTCTCCTCATCCAGCTGCTTCGGTGCCTCGACCACATTTTTCAGCATCTCCCTGCAATACTTGGCCGCTTCGGCCACCTCATCGATCGCACCCTCATCGACTTTGACCGACGACTTTCGACTCGCCGAGGGCTCCTTCGGTGCAATCGGCTTACTCTTCGGCTTCGTCTCCGGACTGGTGCCACTCGAAACTGACTTGGTTTCCTTCCTGAGCTCAGCCAGATCCATGCCCAACTTTTCACTGGTATCCTTGGCTTCCTGTGCTATCGCATTCAATATATCCTCAAATTCCGCTTTGTGCTTCGCCCCGACAATCACCGGACCATCCCCGCCGACCTTTGGCGCAGTCTTCTGCGTGGGAGTGCTCGGCGCACTGCTACTGTCCGACACGGCGGGTGTTCCCTTCCTCGTGGAACTGGTCGACTTCAGCGTCGACGGTAGGTTAAACACCGCTCCTCCGGTGATCTTCGGCGAACCGCTCTTGGCCCGTTCGATCTTTTTCGCCGACTTCTTCAGCTTGGGAACTACCAAAACATCAGACGGAACGTCTGCGACGTCCTTTCTCGTATCAATTCGGTAGTAATCGTCCAGGTTACCGCCGGAAGGTTTGGCAGCGTCCCGCTGTATTAGATTGTAGATATTCGACGCCAGCGTGTTGCTCGTCGCCTTGTGACTGTTGCGCTTTTTCTTGACGTCTTCGACGATGCTACTGTCGATGGGTTTCTCCACGGCAGTGGATTCCATGGCGTTATAGCTGGCTCGATCGATACTTTGCTGAAGATCCTTATCGCGGCGTAGCTGCCGGAAGGCCAAATCGTCCGACACAAGATCCGGGGAGTGTTTCGGCATGAATCGGGGTTTATTGGGCTTTGCCGGATGGGCACTCAGGTAATCCGTATTGGGGGATGGTGGGATCGGACCGATCGGGATTCCAAACGGTGGTTGAACTTCCAGGGTTTTTATGGTTTCGTTGGCTCGTCTTAGGCTGCGGAAGCTCAGATCATCCAGTTCGATGTTCGGTTCGGAGTTGCGTCGATCGCCACTATCGTCTTCGTCATCGTAGTCGGAGACCGGTTTCGTTGGTTGTCGGTTGAACAAGGTCGGCGTCGGAACGTCCCGTAGTTCGGCACGATCCAGCAAGTCTTCGTCACTCAAGCGTAGGCTCTTGTAGATGGCTTCTAGTTCGTTGATGGCCTCTTCGAGGTTGGCGGACTTTTGCTTCTTGGAAAGTTCTTCTTCGGAGCAGGAATTTCGTTTGGAAATTCCTCGCGCTGGAGGAGGTGGTGGACCACGAAGGTGATTCAGGTTGGTCTTGGAATCCTGCTCGGCACTGAACTTCCGGTAGGTGGATGTTGGTACGGGAACTTGCTGCGTAGACTGAGCGATCGTCTTGGCCACGTATTCTTCGTATTTGTTTTTCGGAGGTGAACGGGACTTCTCCTTCGAATCCGGCGCCTGCCGGAGGTACAGTCGGCCGTTGATTACATTGTGCTGATCGTCTGGGATATCACCGCAAATAAGGTTGCTCAGCTCTTTCGATAAATCGTGATTGCGACGGTTCATCATCTCCAGTGCGCGCGAACTGGACACGGAGCGGGTGTTCACACCCGGAACTTGCTGTCTAAGGTCGGCAGATCTACCCCGAGGATGGGCCGTAGTTTGCTTCTCCTCGATCTTCCGCCAGAAGGCGGATGCCGATTGCTGCGGAGTCTTCGGGTTCTTTTCCTCCTGCTCTAGCTTCAGTGGCCGCGTCCGGATGTAAGCCGTTGAACCGTACTGCGATGGTTGCGTACTTGTTGGGGGTGTTTGCTGCATTTGCCGGGATGGTTCGTACGGTTCAAAGGTGCGGTCCTGTATTTGAATGGGTTTCCGTGATCGTGGACTTACGTCCGTAACGTAACGGTACTCGTTTGGTCGCTTAACGATCGAATGCTGCTGTTGCTGTGGTTGTGGCTGCTGTTGCTGTGGTTGCTGTTGCTGTTGTTGCTGCTGCTGTTGCTGCTGCTGTTGCTGCTGTTGCTGCTGTGGTTGGGGTTGAGGTTGCTGGTGATGTTGCTGATGATGATGCTGGTGCGGGTGTTGGTGGTTGTGATGTAGAACCACATAGCCCTGGTTAGGAGACGGATTGGTTTGCTGAGGATGTCGGGAGATGTAGCGTTTCTGTGTAGGTTCTGGCTGAACGGATGCCGGTCTCGGTGGAGTCACGGCGTGTGCGTTTATAAAGCTCTGAGGCATAGCCGGCTGTTGCTGAAGGGTTATGTTCGATCCCCACAGCCGATCGTCGCTGGTACATTTGCCATTCGGCTGCCAGATGTTCCCATTAGGTTGCGCATTCATCTGGTAGCGATCGAAGGCGTAGGAAATGGGTCGAGCATCACTGGGATGTCCGATCGTTAGTCTGCGCTGGGGATCCCGTGGAGGAACTGGCGGTGGACTACGAATGGAGTCCCGCATGGAGTTTGCTTTACTTTGAATGTAAAAACTGTTTTCGTATGTTGCCGATGGGTTGATCTGATAGACCTGCTGCTGTTGAGCATACGGATTGGGTGGGTGGAACAGATGAGGCACATTGGTAAGACTAGATGAGTTCCTGAGGCTTGGATGAACCCCGACTGGGTAGCCTCGTCTGTTAACGTTATCTACGGATTGGATGCTTCCGTGAAGCATACTAGGAGAAATCGGCTGCGTATGCCACCGGTTCACGGGGCTACCTTCTTCATCCTTGGTCATTCGTTTCAAGTACCGTTCGGTTCTTGCCGAACGGGACTTTCTGTGTGAGCTTGCACTGTGATTGCCCAAGCTATCGTCACTTCTGAACCTGGACATCGACGAAGATCTGTGCGATCCTTCGTCACTGGAGCCCTCTTTGCCTTCCTTCGTCTTTCCTTGATCTGTGCGTGATCTCCGATCCAGCGAACCCATAGAAACTACATACTTATCGATCGAGTTTACGCTGTCACTCTCTTTGAAGCCATAGCTATTGCCGGTCTGGTTCTGACTGACTACGATGTGATCGAAGGTTCCCAATTTACTGGATCGCTTCTTGCGATTCTTCCCATTGAGCGTCCCCGGTTGGCTAACGGCTTGTGTTCGATTGCTCTTCACCGGCAAGAAACCGGCCTTGCGATCCTCTTCGGAGCTGGAGTCGTACTCCAGTTCCTTCTTCTGCTGCTTTCGACGGAACAGATTCCCAATTGACCACTTTTTGCTGTCCTTCCCGTCCTTACCACTACTGCTCTTACTCGAGACCTTGTCCATGTCTCGCTTCTGCTGCTGCTGATGCACATGCAAGGTTATGTCCTTCGGTAGGGGTAACTGGGGCCTCCAGGGCGAAGCCGTCTGTACAGTCTGCAATGAAACAAGCGGGAGAGAGAGAGGAAAAGAAAGAAATTAGTAATTGATTCCCTGCAGATAAGCGCTCGGTTAGCGATCCGGTTCAACCGGACAACAGAATCGCTTTGGCTGCGTCCACCGTCATGACGACGAGGAGAAAGAAGTGTGCAAAAAATGTAAACTAGCATCTTGCGGTGGTTGATATCCCCCTGAGGCAAGGAGGAAATTAATTCGATTTTAATGGAATTGGTCGGACAACAACAACGGGCGACGCACGAGATCTCCCCGTAGGCACCGCCGCGACCAGAGTGAGGTTAGATAATAGGGGCGCGGTTAATGGCCGGTAATCCCATTATGGAGATATGGCTTTGAAATGAGCGGAAATTTGGAGACACTTTCGTTTGTAAAGCGGCCGAGCGAAATTGGATGCATTTGTTTGCATGAAAGCCGTGGGAAAGCTGAGTGAATACGTTATAGGCTTGGACGTCATTTAAGTCTAAGATATGGACGATAATAGGTTCAGTGTTGTTTACTTTTCATGGAGAACGATCCGTAGATAGGGAAGTTTGTTTCCACTGAATTATTTATTGATAAATCTAATAACCATTTCCAAAAAGTTAAGGATTTTGAAAGTGATGAACGAAAATTTTACGAATTCGTAGAATTTCTTCTGCACTGTTAAAACAATCCTTATAAATCTGAGAAATTTGTTATGGTCCGTCCGTAAATTCGCAGTAAGTCTAATAAGGTTATACTTATCAGCAAAATATAAGAAGGACTTGATTGCAAATCGATCGAATCGCAGTACACGCTAACTTGAACTTATCAGTAATTACTAAAATTACACAAACTTCCATAAACCAAAGCGGTTTGACTCAAGATTTACTAGGTTTATAAATCCGTAAATTTCAGACATTGCTAGGTACTCCGTGGCAAACAACAAGTAGTAGTTCCAGCGAAACGAACGCTACAAGGAACCACCTATAATAAGCAAAACAAATTGCTCGCAAAAAATATCTAAATCTTCTAAAAATATATCTAAATATCTAAATGTTCTCCAAGCAGATTGTATCGTAAATAGTTTTGGATTCAACGAAAACACCCCCAACATTGTGAAGCATCCTCCTCCTAAAGTAATGTCGTTTTCGTTTTTACTACACTACACCGGTGTAGTGTAAGCAGCAATAAGTGCGAGTCATTGACAGTTCATCATCATTTGTTTGTAAACAAAGGTGCAACCGATAGCTACACCCTAATTTTTTTCGGTGTTCGGCAGTGTAGCACCGGTGTAGCTACACCGCAAAAACGAAAACGACATAAGATTCTTTCAAACAGAAAAGTCACTCCATCAAAGTCGCGCATGTCAATTTGAACTAAAACCTCGCGAAGCAAAATGCCAAAATGGAAAACAGAGACAAAAGCACAGTTGTGATGTTGTGAATGAAAATCTTAATTACTCATCCTCATCGAACAAGCCACTTGTGAGGCACGAGAGCATGAAAATTTCTTTTGGCTTCGGGAGCCGACCGATGACAAAAACGCGACGCATCTCAATTTCAAGCTCGATTCCGTTCGCTCTCGTCGTGCGGGTTTTTGGGATTGGCTTTTTTGAAAAGATTCTTTGTTTGCACATGTGCTTGTGCGTGAAACGATAAATGAGTAACAACAAAGAATGAACAACCTTGAGAAAGGTACGAAATTGTATGTGGGGCACGAACTTGACACCGGTTGACAGTTTTCCCGCTGTGCGGCAGCACCTGTCATTTGTCAAATTGTCATGCTTAGCATGCTTGGTTTGAGTGGGTCTGGCGTACGCCACCCGCCGCCGCCATCATGGAGGCCAGGAACCAAGATAGATGGGCAGCAATTAGCTCTTTGGTAATTGATTTTGTGCGGGAGCTAAAAATACCTCCTCGGGACTGCAAGTTGTTTACTCTGTTTTCCTGAAAAACCGGACCGGATTCGTTTGCGGTTCGCGCGAGATGAACAAATACACTGCACAGTTCAAAGAACAGATGACTCTTACACTCAAAAATATCACTCCTTGGTTGGACATATTCGCTATTATTTTGACGGTTGCTCCCCGCTAGTTGACAGTTTCTCCGCTGTGGCGCACCGGTTGTGTCACTAAAAAAAATGAACCGTATAAATGCGAACTCTAAAAATTTAATTCACGAATCAATTAACCAGATTGGAACACACACACCCCCGCTCGCGATCGAATCTAACCTCACTTTCGTTCGAACGTCACGCCGCCGCGGCCATGCCAGTAGCACTATTCGCCTTCAATCCAAACAAAAGCCCTCCGATGCACGCCAATCGGGATGTGTGTGAACGGTGCGATTCTCAACCGGGTACTAAGTCGACTACTAAGCTCCTTCGGCTACTGAGCTAAGCCAAACGAGAGAGAATGTTTCGAGGTAGTGAAAAATTCTCGAACAACCAACAACCAACCGTGCGGACGAAGACGCCTGTTGACGTAACTTTCGTACTCTCATGGTAGTCGTAAATTCCCGAACACGGGCGGGTGTGGAAAATCCGGCTGGTTGGTTGCAGAGCAGAGGGTCGTTGAGCCATTAGTTGGAAAATCCTACTACGCCCCGACGCTTATTTTCGGTGGTGAAATCAAGAAGGAGGAAGTGACTTTTGGAAAATGGAATCCGTTGACGGGTGTGATGGATCAGCTGGTGGTGCGAAATGGAGATGTTTCGGTAGGGAGTCCATTTGGTGTGAAGGTCACAGGGGAGGATTTATTGCATTGCACTTCATGCTCCTTTGTCCTAATATTCCTACCGAGTATTTTATATTTGTTTCCCCGGAAAACGACTTCAAAGTACCTTAAAGATGTTTGAACGTGCACTTGATGCTTTCTAGACCTGCTAAAGTAGCTTTCTCGGTCTATTGGATTAGCCCATTGAGTTACTGTATATGGGTTTGATTTCAGAACCCCTGAGAGTTACTACTTACTTAGCTTTTCTGGGTATTCCTTACCTTAGGAATTGATCATCAAAGCCTACAGTAACTATTTAGCCTGACACTAACAAATATTTCAATCCGTTGAAATACAATGACTTGGCGTTTTAAATTCATTTAGGAGTTTTGAAGATCATTTTGGCCTTAGAACATTTGCATTTAATATTGGTGGGTCGCGAGCTTGTAAAATCCCGACTCGCAATCGAAAAAAGTTTGAAACCCGCTGCTCTAAAATGTTATTTACATTTATAAACTGTCAAACCTAAAGATCCGAAAGCAAAGTTCAAAAAAATCTTAAATTCCAAAAAAAACTCCAAGTTACAGACATTGGTGGGTTGTAGGCAAAAGGTCGAACGATGTCGAAAGACAAAAGTTCGAATGGACAAAAGATCGAAATGGGTAAAAGGTCGAATCAAACTTATAAAGACAAATGGTTGATTGATATTTAGTGGGAAAAAAGGTCGAACGAACAAAAAAGGCGAAATGAACAAAAGGTCGTATGAACCAAAAAGTCGAAAAGGTCAAATAACTTTAAAAAATAATAGAGCTGATCCACAGAAAACTGCTTGTATTTAAGAGAATATATATATAATATATATCTATATATGCTTGTATAAGAGAAGCACAAGAGACAATCAAAATCACAAAGTCATATCGAACACAAACATTAAATAATGCCCAATGTAGATTGCCAAGTATTAAATTTAAATTATAAATTTTAAATGTTAAAATTCAAAATATTTAATTTTCAATTTTAAATGGTGAATTTTAAATCTGAAATTTTAAAATGCTAATATGAAATCTTTTTAAATACATGATTTAAAATTCGAAATCACTAATAAATTTAACAGTTGTTATTTAAATTTTCATATTATTAATGCTAAATAGTAAATTTCAACTTTTAATGTTAAATTATGATTTTTTCTTGTTAAATTTTAAATGTTGAATAATAAATGTCAAATGATAAACGTTAAACGATGAATGCAAAATGTTAAATGTTATATGGCCACTTTAAATTTTATGTAATACACTGGAGTCGCTAAAAAAAACCGCGTAAATTCCGGAATCCGCGTAAAAAAAAACCGCGTAAATTCCGAAATCCGCGTAAAAAAAACCGAGTAAAAAAAGACCGTGTAAGAAAAAACCGCGTAAAAAGCGATATACCGCGTAAATTCTGAAATCCACGTAAAAAAAAACCAAAATCCGCGTAAAAAAAACCGCGTAAATTCCGGAATCCGCGTAAAAAAAAACCGCGTAAATTCCGAAATCCGCGTAAAAAAACCGCGTAAAAAAAACCGCGTAAAAAAAAAACGCGTAAAAAAAACCGCGTAAAAAGCGACTCCAGTGTATATATTAAAAATTTAAACTTTAAATGTAAAATGCTATATGATAAATGCAAAATATTTAATGAAATATGTTTAATATAAATTATAAAATGTTAACCATGAAATGTTTATTATGTTATGGGTTACGTTGATTTTTTCATTCCAGAAAATAAATTTCAAATGTTTTATATTAAATGAAAATTGATGAAATGTTAATGTTCGTTCGACCATGTGTCTATTTCTAAATTTTGTCCATTTCAACATTTTGTCCCTATAGATGTCATTTAATCTTTTGTCCATTCGAATTGTCTCTATAAATTTCATTCGACCTTTTGTCCATCAAACCGTTTGTCCATCAGACCATTAGTCCTTCGACCTTTTGTCTTTCGACATTTTGCCATAGACTCACATTGGTGTGATTAAAGAACGAGCATCTTTAAAACGAAGGAAAAACAATTAAATTGAATATTTTATTCAAAGTGCCGAAAAAAACTCGAAAGAACTGTTGATGATTGAAAGAAGAAAAAGACCTAAAACATTGGGACAAACAGGGATACTTTAAATTTCTTCTATTGCAGAAAAATAGAAATGATAGTCCCAGCACTCTCACTTTTTTACAACCCCGAGTTCTGAAGAATAAAAAAAAAATGTGTTGAAACCTCAAAACTTGTTTAAATCTGGGTAAGCTGGAAAAATCCTAGAAGCTCGAGATTCTCC